AGAGCTGCAGAGTTGGGTAAAATAGCAAGCTTTTCCCAGCATTTGATATTCCCAGCTGAGGGCTGCAAACTAATTAACTCCCCTATCTAAAGCCATCTTCAGCACACCAACTAGGTCTGTCAGGACACCAGCCACAGCCTCCCCAGTGACAGCAGCAAGGAGGTCAGCCCAGTCCCACCTCCACTGCGTGGAAAACTGACCCTCCACTCTGCACATCCCTGGCAGTCAAACAGGGTTTGAGGCAAAGTTCCAATTTTAGAGTCCCCACAAGGTCTTCTTTGAGTCAGGCTCATTTTAAAAAAGAGCAGCACGATAGCAGTATTGGGCCTCATACCTTTAGGGTTTCTCCTGGAGAGGCTTGGGTGATGAAGAGGTTTTGCCCTTATGTCACAATCTTCCGGTTTAAGTGCTTTTCTCTCCATTAGAAATATGTCCTGGAAAGCACGGCTGCTGAAAGCAATCCCTGTGCGTAGGTCTGCATTGCTGTACACACAGGAGGGGTCAGGATGGTTGGTTAATCTCCATGGAGAGGTTTGTTTGCCTATAGCACCTTCCTTGCCCGCTGTTTCTGGAACCTCTGTCACAGGGGTTGACTCAAACATCCCATGGATCTCATGGTTATGACATATTAGACCAGAACTTTAGGTTTAATAATGCCACTGAGTTTAATATTTCCATTTAAATATAAAGACAGTATTAAAAGAAAAGCTCCTGTGAATATCGGCCAACCCATTCACATGAGGCAGCTCACTTGCAAGTTCATCTCAGAGAGGCAAAAGTCCTTCAGTGAGAGCAAATGTAGAAGTGGTCCAGATGTTCCCTGTAAAATGTGGAATAAACAGCTGGAGGGAAGTTGGTGCTGTGGTTAGTTATTGTGATAGAAAATGGGGACAAGAGACCTGGGGCAAAGGGACATGCTAATCATCCTTGTTCCTCCAAACACTGGAAAACACATGCATTTCTCCGAGTGGTACCCGGCTGGTCTGTTCAGTTGGATTTTAGGTTCTAATGAACAATGAAATAAGGTGTGAAGTAGAGCCTGGTGAAACCCTGACCTGCACGAGTCAATCCCCTAGTTTTGGGAGGGTCAGGATTTGGTTCTCTGCCAGCTGCCCTGCTTACTGTAATTCTGTGCAAAGAGTGTGGCAGTAAACACATTTAACTGCTATGCCCCAAACATCTGCACAGCCTTCTCTGCCAGTGGGATGGGCTTCCTCCAAGTTGTTTCTCTAAAGCTTGGAAAACGAAGGTAGCACTTAAGCAATATCCCCTCCCAGGATCCCCTGAGCAGGAATTTGGAGCACTTGAATAGTCCATCCCCGAGGAATCTCTTCCAGGTCTGACCCTCATCCTGGTGCAAGCTGAAACAAGACTATGTAAATTCGTAATCAGTGCTGCAGACATGATTTAAGACCCTATAATATGTATCTCACTGTCACATCAGAGCGCTTTGAGCCAAGGAGCTCAAAGTATTGTGTTTTCATGCATAGAGCCTGCATCTCAGATAACTCGTGCCACCGTAAAAGAACTGTCCTTTGCAAACAAGCACCTCACTAATCTGCCTCCTTGGGTAACCCAGGGGTCGTGTCAGAGTATCAGCTATGTATGTGAAATCGTGGGCATAGGGTGGCAGTCCCCCCCTCTCATTAGGGATGGCCACGATGAGTGAGGTGGCAGCCTGCAGCCACTGGGAGCTGCCCTGAGGAGGGTGGAAAGATGGCGGGAAGTCACAGATTTGGCCCCAAAACTGCTGAAAAGCAAAATAACTCATTCTGTCTGTGTTGCACGTGTTGCCCTCACAGAGGCAGCTCCATCCAGATGATCTTTCTGCGTCTTGTTTTCTTCTTCTCAAATCAAGCGCAGACTCTAAAGCCTCCCTGATGCAAATTTCCACTCCAGCCTACAGAAGCTTGGCAGAGGAGCTGACCGTTTACAGGGATGCTTGCTGCAGGCAAGAGCCTAAAATTAGACTTTTAATGCCACAGCTGGCACCCAAGAGGTGACCTGATTCTCAGACACGGGGAGAAATTTCAAAGCCTGGTCCACTATATGGCTTGATACTCCATGGAAGTGGCTTAGTCTGTAGCAACTCTTAATCAGCTACTTAAACCATGCTTTGCACTGCTTGGGCAGCCCTGCAACATGGCAAGGCACCACACATGTTAACCCCCCAACTGCCCTCTCCTCGGGGGACTTAACCTGCAGAGGTGTTTCATCTGTGGCAAATTTATTCGCCCACTTTGCTGTCCTGGTTTGAGGTAAAACAGAGCCAACTTTCTGTTCAGTAATTTTACTTCTGAGCCAGGCCTCTTCTAACTCTCTGAAATTAACAGCATGTTGTGCAGAAAACTGTTCACTTTTAGAGTGACAAGACCAATGTTTATATTTCATGCCAAGGAACGATATGCAGAACGGCTCTTTCTTATACTTATTGCTGTAACAACCAAGGTCAGCTAATTTTGTTATTTGCCCTGTTGGAGGGTCGGATACAGAAAAGCGTAGAGGGGTCCCACCTGCAGGGAGGAGAGGACAGGACAGGTGATCCAAACCTGACTAACAAGGGTATTCTATCCCACCTGCCCCATGCTCAGGATAAAAGCTGAGGGATCAAAGGGTCAGCTCTTCTTCTTCAATGGCTGACGTCTGAAGAGGACCCTGTCAGTTCATCTGCCTTTGATCCTGATGCATGTGTTCCTGACTCCGGAGCTGGAATGCTATTCCCACCACTGAGTCCAGTCTGGGACTTCCCCAGTGCCTGCTGGTGACATCATCCTGGGACCTAGGTACAGTTATATATATATATATATAAACTATTTTCATTATTTTCTTTTAATTTTATTATTAATATTTCATTAAAATAGTTTAGTTCCTGCTAAACTTGTAAATCTCTTTCTCTCTCCTCCTTGGAGTGAGGAGCAGGAGGAGAGCATCTGTCACCTGTAATTGGCCAATTCAGCCTGAAACCACAACCCTTGCCTCCTCCAAACTTCTCTCACTTGCAAAAATGTCCAATCTTCCCTTTCAAGTTCTGCAGCTGAGCAGCTTTGCCCAGGCATTTATTCAGCTGACGAGACAACGGCATAATTGTATTTGCAAACACCAGCTCACAGAAATTTGCCAGGCGATGGAGTTTATTGAGGTTTCATGGTTTTAAAATGAGCCGATCCATCATCCTGCAGTGGTGCTGAGTGTACACAAGGCCAGCTCGCTTCAGCAGGACAGTGAAGCATAAAACCTGTTTTTTTTGCAACAAAACCTGTGAGTGTATCAACCCCCTTTGCAGAGGCTGCACCTTAGGGCCTATGTTTGTTTTTGACCAAAGTCATCCAATGAGTTATATCCTCATTGCAGGGTTTGTTACAAAAGTCTTTTGAAAGCACGTGGGATTGTGAAATGCTCTTACTACACCTAATGCCTTGCAAATAGCAGTGAGAAATCGGACAGCGGGCTGGAATGCTAAGAAAATCGCTTTGATAAACTAAAGTGTTTAAAAAAAAATTCAATGTTATTGCTTTTAACCCATGTCGGGAAGCTGAAGCAAGCAGCAGTCATTCTAGAGTAAATGAGTTCAGCTTCAGGTCTCTGTAGAATTGAAAAAACAACAACACGGGGAGCAAGAATTAATCTGTCCAAACCTGACTAACAAGGGTATTCTATCCCACCTGCCCCATGCTCAGGATAAAAGCTGAGGGATCAAAGGGTCAGCTCTTCTTCTTCAATGGCTGACGTCTGAAGAGGACCCTGTCAGTTCATCTGCCTTTGATCCTGATGCATGTGTTCCTGACTCCGGAGCTGGAATGCTATTCCCACCACTGAGTCCAGTCTGGGACTTCCCCAGTGCCTGCTGGTGACATCATCCTGGGACCTAGGTACAGTTATATATATATATATATAAACTATTTTCATTATTTTCTTTTAATTTTATTATTAATATTTCATTAAAATAGTTTAGTTCCTGCTAAACTTGTAAATCTCTTTCTCTCTCCTCCTTGGAGTGAGGAGCAGGAGGAGAGCATCTGTCACCTGTAATTGGCCAATTCAGCCTGAAACCACAACCCTTGCCTCCTCCAAACTTCTCTCACTTGCAAAAATGTCCAATCTTCCCTTTCAAGTTCTGCAGCTGAGCAGCTTTGCCCAGGCATTTATTCAGCTGACGAGACAACGGCATAATTGTATTTGCAAACACCAGCTCACAGAAATTTGCCAGGCGATGGAGTTTATTGAGGTTTCATGGTTTTAAAATGAGCCGATCCATCATCCTGCAGTGGTGCTGAGTGTACACAAGGCCAGCTCGCTTCAGCAGGACAGTGAAGCATAAAACCTGTTTTTTTTGCAACAAAACCTGTGAGTGTATCAACCCCCTTTGCAGAGGCTGCACCTTAGGGCCTATGTTTGTTTTTGACCAAAGTCATCCAATGAGTTATATCCTCATTGCAGGGTTTGTTACAAAAGTCTTTTGAAAGCACGTGGGATTGTGAAATGCTCTTACTACACCTAATGCCTTGCAAATAGCAGTGAGAAATCGGACAGCGGGCTGGATTGCTAAGAAAATCGCTTTGATAAACTAAAGTGTTTAAAAAAAAATTCAATGTTATTGCTTTTAACCCATGTCGGGAAGCTGAAGCAAGCAGCAGTCATTCTAGAGTAAATGAGTTCAGCTTCAGGTCTCTGTAGAATTGAAAAAACAACAACACGGGGAGCAAGAATTAATCTGTGAAAAATTAGAGATGTGTGAGCCATCTCAGAAGAAAATAAACATAGCCTGGGCATCCCTTAAAACTTGCTCTGGTTTTATAATTTTCTTTCACACGTGAATACGAGCATCCCAGCTCATGTGGCCTAGCTTGAGAACGTGGATGGAGGATGGATGGAGACAGTCAAAGACCACCGTCCCTGGCAGCAGTGTCCTTTTGGCAAAGGAGAGCTCATGTAAAGCCTGTCCCAGGCATCACCAAAGGGTTGTCACCTGTGCTGGGGCTGAGATGGGATCCTCATGGGCAATGTGTCCAGAAGACATCCCCTTAGATTTCCATTACAAAGCCACCTCCATGCCTTTCCAACCTCCAGTATGACCACACAGAGACCACGTCCCATGGTTCAGTCTCTGAAACAGAGCTGACACAAGCAAGATCACAGCCAGGCAAAGGCAGTGGAGAAGGGCAGACCCTGTAACCACATCAAATTGGTTGATAGAGCTCTGAAACAAGAAATCGGGACTCTCTGCGCTGGGGGACCAATTGCTGAAGAGCTGAGGTGGTGGGCTCTGGTTTCTCAGACGCTGTAGCTAAGGCCCCCCTCCTGCCCATGCTCCTGCCTTGAGGCAATGGGAAGGAGTGTAGAAAGCTCTATGTGGTGCTCTCTGACCCTCGTGACTCAATGGGAAAAGGTGTCCCGGACACTTCTGCCTGACCCTGTCCTCCAGGCAGTGACTAACCAAGGGCACCTTGCCATCACATCTTCTTAGAACACTCTCTCAAAGGCTCTGGCTGAGCCAGGGGGAGGCCGAAGGGCATGGCCGGTTGCCGCATGCCCGTGATGCCCTCCATCGCCTGGGACACCCCAGGGGACGCGTCACAATGGGGGCGGCTTTATAAAGGGCGCCAGCAGGCAGCTGCCCCAGTACGGCCTGGGCCACCGGCGAGTGCGCTTCAAGGCCATGGCTTTGACGACGGTCCGCATCTTGCTTCTGCTGAGCTTCTTCCTGCGCCTGCCGATGGTCGGCAAAGAGCTGGAGGAGGCCACGCACGAGCACATGTGGCTCCGGGAGGAGCATCTCAATCAGGAGATGACTCAGCTGATGGAGGAGCTGGAGCAGAGCACCTCTGCCCCGGGAGCCCTGCTCTTGGCTGCCTTGCAGCACTGGCAGTTCTGGGCGGTCGCTGGAGTCCTAGTGCTGCTCCTTGGGCTCTGCTGGTGGCTGAGGAAAAGGAGCCAGCAGCCAGAGAGCAGCTGGGAAGAGGAGATCACCTCCTGCGGCAGCCGAGAGGACGAGGAAGAAGCAGGCGAAGGAGAGGACTCTGACGATGAGGGGCGTCTGGTCAGGATTTTGGCAAAGCGCGTCCGTGGGGCAATGAAGAGCGTGGCCTACAAGCGCCGGGTGGCGGAAGATCTGGTGAGCGACCTCCTTGGCGTCTTCCAAGCGCGCTTGGCCAACAGTTTCTTCCCCGTGCTGGAGCCAGCCATCGGGGTGGGCAGCGCCTTTGAAGGTTGGAATCCCCGGGGGCATGATGCGGTCTACCGCCTGCTTGTGCCCCTGAAGCCTCCCCGTGGGCACACCTTCCATCTGGAGCAGGCCTCTGCGGAGAAGATGCCGGCAAAGAACCGCATCCGCGTTCAGCTCCAATGCACCTGCACGAGGGGCCAAGGGGTGGGGAACATGCTCTGCTTCGTGCACCAGCCCGAGGAGGCGCTGAGGACAAATCAGGATTCCAACCTCCTAAACGACCTCTGCACCAGCGCTGCACGTCCAGGCTTCTACCTGGACGTGCAGAAAATTGCCCGCTGGTTCCAGACCTTGGTGAGCTCAGCCTGGGGGGAGATGGCTCAGTGGCATCACTACAGCATGAAGGTGCTGCCTTCCCGCCGCTCCTGCAAGCTGCAGCTGACGAATGCCTGCGGGAGATCCCTCTTTGTGGAGCTGATGTTCGGGGTGCAGCAAGGCGACTCGGACATCTTCCTGAGCAGCCAGGTTGCAGAGCACCCCGGCTGCTTCATCCCGGGCACAACGTGGGCAGAGAGCTATGCCGTGGCCGAGGCCA